GGAAGTGGTACTGTCAGGATTGGCCTCTCTTCATCACTCACAAAAAAATGAATGTGAAAAAGACAAAAATATGGCCCTTGCATCTTTCCATTACAAGAAATTCCTAATCGACGTGGAGGCAAATTAAAAAAAAAAAAAAAAAAAAAAAATCAATCGTACCAAAAAAAAACAAATTGAAAGTGTGAAACGAAAAATCTCACAAGTGTCGCTCTTCGAGCCTTCCGATTTTAGAGAATTGCCATGCAGTGTACTTGACGTCATCCCCACCTTCCTCGATTATATCACCGGCAGTTTTTTTTTGTGAGTCAAGCACATTATATCCTCTTGGTGGGGCGCTGCCCTTGGCGACGACGGCCGAGAGCGTAGCGCCTGGGTATGTGGTCTGTACGGTGGTTCTTGGGATTGTCGGTTGTTTGGTGGAACACCTTTTCGACTTAGTCTACTATTGTGCTAGTACTTCTTTGCTTGGTGTGAGCGAGCATGCGCCACTCGTCTGCTGTGTCTACAGTATACTTGTACCATCATACTATACTATGGGATGCCTTAGCAACACACACACACACAAAAAAAATAAATAAATAAATAACAACAACAACAACAACACCAACAACACCAACAACACCAACAACACCAACAACACCAACAACAACAACAACAACAACAACGACAAAAAAAAAAAAACACTGTGGCGGTTGCGGAACTGGAGGTTGCTGTAGCTGTTGGTGATCGGCGATCCTCTTGCTGCGTCGTGGCTGCTGTTCCGAGGCTGGCCCTGCTGGAATCAGAAACTGTTGCTGAAGACTGGCTCGTCCGAAGGATCGCAGAACAGTGTGAGGGAGAGGGTGGGTACAGGGATAGAACAGATCAAGCAATCAACATACAGTCCCTGTCCCAAGGATGGACTAAGACACCTAATCAAACAGAAAAAATAAATGTTCCCGTAAACAATTCGAAAATTCGTAATAAGAATAATAATAACGAATTATTTAATCAATAATTTAATTAATGATTAATACGAAAGAATAATTCTTAATGATAATCAATAAACAATCTTTGCAATAATGATTTCTTAACGATAATCAATTAAAACAATCTTTGCAATAATGATAATGAACGAATTTTGAATTGTATTAAGATCAGGTCTCTTTGAGATCAATTTCGGTCCGGGAGTTCACCCGTAATGAGTGAACTATCCGGAAGTTGCAACTTTGAGGGTTAGATTTGGATTAGTTTGCCGAAAAAATTCTCGGAAAAGTTAGGGGAAAACACTCGAATTTTCAAAAACGTGAATTTCGGGAATTTCCACCGTCAAAAATCCGATTTTTAAAACAAAGGAAAGAAAAAAAATTCGCGAAAATTTCGGGCCCAATCCTAATTTTCCGCGTTTCGGCGGAATTTCCGGATTTACGGTTCCCAAAACGTTCGAATTTCCCAAGTTGAGCGAAAACCAAATTTTCGTAACCCTACTTTCCACTACTGCGATAAAACGGAAATGCCGATTTGTAAAACGAAATACCGGATTAAAAATCAGAATGCCGAAATAAAAACGGAATACCGAAAGAAATCAGAATGCCGAAATCAACAGAAAACTGATTTAACCCTAATTACGAATTACTAACCAGAAATCCGAATCAAACAGAATGTTGGATTAGTATCAATTTATCGGAACCTAATTAAACAGCATACCGGCGAAAAACAGAAATACGAATAGTAAGTCCGAATACTGAATTGAAACGGAAGTGCCAAAATAAACAGAATACCGAAAAGAGAAAAAAAAATTGCAACTTTGAACTTGATAGTAATTCAGCGCTGATTTGGAAGATCTAATTCCTAAATCGGTCTTACCTGGTGAGCAGATCCGTAATTGGTCTGCTCCGATACCAAAACTGTTATGGGCAGAACCAAAGATCAACCAATGTAGGATGAGCATATATGCAGCGGAAGTCTGATAAACGGACTGACTCACATAGACTGACTCACATAGACTGACTCACATAGACTGACTCACATAGACTGACTCACATAGAATCACTCCACACACATACAATCGTGAGATGGTGGGGTCTGGGCCAAGCATGGACGATGCCCAGATCCCGTACACACATACACAGATGAAAGGTGGGAGGAGAGACGAAGGAAGTGGGGGAGGTAGACAGCACCGGTAGGTCACCGAGATAGAATCCGATAGGTCACCGATATGGTAGTCCAAAATGTCATCCAACAAGATCAAAATGTCGAGGACAATCAGTCACCAATGTCGGAGTTACAGAGTCCAAATGTAACCGGTGTCCGAACTGTGATGCCGCCAAGTATCAACCCCAACAATCTCCAAGTCTCCAATCTGGTAAGTACCACAGTCTCATACCACCGAAGTCCAACTCTGATCTCTGTCCAACTAGTATAAGTCTCCAAATCTGAAGAAGAAGAAGAAGAAGAAGAAGAAGAAGAAGAAGAAGAAGAAGATGGAGTCTGAAGAGAAGAAGAAGAAGAAGAAGAAGAAGAAGAAGAAGAAGAAGAAGAAGAAGAAGAAGAAGG